TCAACCATCACGAAATCACGACTCCCCTGCAAAAATTGCAAAAAAACTCAGAAATAACAAAAAAATGCAGAGGTGATTCTCACGAATAAGCGTCACTACTTCGTTTTCATTCACAACGCCTCGGACGAGGCTGCACCGTCTTGTGGAGGTTGGGCTACCGACGGAGAGGGGGGAGACTAGAGAGTGGAGAAGAGAGTAGGTAGAGAGTGAGAAGAGAGAGTGATGGAGAGGAGAGAAGACAATGAGAGTAAGAAGAGATGGAGAAGAGAGAATGATGAGGAAAATTGGAATAAAATTGATTAGGGTTTGGGATGAGAATTGTACAATTAATATTTAATATTTAAAATAAAATATTCAATTTTTGAAAAGTGAAACCTTTAATTTGATTTTGGAAATTGAATCCTTAAAATCCTGGTTTTGTGTAATTTTCTCTTATTAAAACTGTTAGAGATCCACAAGATCCAAAATTATTTGAACCCAATTCAATGTCAAACAGATGAGAAATGAGAGGACAAAAAGTATTTCCGACGCAAACGGTGACTATAGGAGAAAAACCGACTAGGTAGCGTAGAGAATTTTCGGTGAAGAAGACGACTGATGCGGAATGGCAAGCCAAAAGGAAAAAGAGACTATGCATTCAAAATAACGAAAAGTACATAGTAGGGCACCGATGTTAGAGCAAAGAGTTGAAGGTGCTATTGGTACATGATGATTAAATTAGAAGACAGGAAGATTTAACAAACCGATTTACAAATTGTTAACTTGTATACTGTTCACTTTGGGAGGGCCTAAACTCATCTTACCCCCTTAGTCTTCTATCACGTCCCCGAAATTCGAATACATGAACTCCCATTAAGGGAAACTTAATTTGAATCCTGATATTAATTGGGCAACTTAAGTCTCTCTTAAGAGTTCATGTGTTTGAATATTGGGAAACGTGATAGAAAGTAATGAGGGGGTAAGTAGGCAAATGTCCACCCGAAACGGACAATACATATGATATAGCGACTTGGACACGAGGTCTCGATCGTTACAAAATTGGTACTAAAATTCAACTTGAATCTCTCTTAAAAGGAGTTCATGTGTTTGAATCCAAGTGAACGCGATAAAAAGTCATGAGCGGATAAATGTGTAGATACCCATCAAAAGTGGACAGTACGTATGATATAAGAGGTGGACGCGAGGCGTGGATCATTAAAAAAAATGCCCATTTTTTGGATGTAGCACTTGGAGGATCAAATTAATAGGCTACCAATCAAGTTCACCTATTCTAGAAGGTCCAAGAAGAATTTAGAAGCAAGAGAGTAACAACATTTTGTTAGCTTAGCTGGCAAGATGGTTACAGGACTATTATATGATAGGCTACCTATCATATTCAACTGATAGAAATGAGGAAAAAAAAACAAAAACAATTTAGGATAAAACAATTTCACATATTTTTCACCGTCAAGTGATGTCATCTTTGAATATTTCGTTGCGGCAACGTCTTTAGTAATGTGACTAGCATCCACAAAAGGGTTTAGTCAGATAACTATAAGTGATATGAATACAAAATAACTAATGAATTTAATTTATAACTTTATTAATTCTCAATATGCACTAAAGTATTATTTATAATCAACTAGATATAAATAAATGAATAAAATCTAGAAGACGGTTTGAATTTTTATGTATAAATTTTTACAGACGCTACCATGCATTGTTTTAAGCACAATTCTAGTATGACTTAAAGAGTGACTAACCACTAGTCGTTGGTATTACACGAAATTTATGATCATGAATAAAGTTGTTTATATTTAATGACACGACGTTCACTAAAATTTTGATCAGAAACAATTTTTAGGGTGAGTGAGTTGAGCGATCACACAAAATCTCAGTATTGTAGGGGCCAAAAAAATTTTGTTATAGCCGTATACATATGTATAATTATATATTTAAAATATTTTATCAATTTTAATATCTTTTATTATGTTAAATTAAATGTCACAATATTTATGGAAAAAGAGAGTTAAAAAAAATGGTTTACATGAACTACTAAATAAGAGTTGCCATATTGATTATGAAAGTTTAATTAGCGAGTTTACTTTTTGAAATGCGTGAAAAAATATTTTTATATGATTTGTTGTATTTTAAGGTTTAAATGTGGTATTTGTTGTTTTTTATTCAAGATTTGATCATATGAAAATGCACGAAGATGTTAGTGCTTTGATGGTTCTTTCTTGATGACATATGAATTTTGATGTTCGGGAAGTGTTTTTGAGCTTTATTTGTACTTTTCTTATTAACATGTAAAAAGTTAAAAAATTATTTAAATGTCATATTTCTATAATGAAATAATATTATTGGAATATATTTTTTTCAATATATTTTTTAATTACATGAAAATGGATAACATTTTAAAATATCACATAGAGCATCCAAAACGTCAGGCCGACCTTGATTTTGAGTAATTCGGTCACTGAAATTATTCTTTTATGGTAATAGTCGCTAAAGTTTCTAATAGTTAAACTAATGATCACTCGATCAAAAACATTTAAGTCCTTCATGATGATATTAAAATGATAAATGTTTTACTAAATGATGTTATTGAGTGGGCCAAGATAGGAAAAAAAAGTTGTGAATTCTACAATACTATTTAAACCTAGATCTGATCAACATTAAAGTCACATTACGTTTCTCAGTTAAATTAAATATTACTAAATAATTTGATATGGTGAGACATTGGCACTTAGCCACGTAGGATTTAATGTTAAATATTTGAATCGAGTTATCATTATTGTATTATTTTTAAAAAAAATATGTGACTATTTTAGTTAGAAATTAATAAACCATAACTTCAATGACCATAGATTTAATTTGCCCCATAAAATGAAATATAAATATTATACGTTTTACGCGTCCTGCTTTTCAATAATCCCAAATAAGATTAGGATCGATTGGTTGACCTAAATAAAGAGGACATGCCACCAACCAATCTTTTCAATTAATTTTATATTTTCATCCGAGTAGATGCACTTTATAATAATTAGAAAGGAAAAAATTATTTATTTAAATAAGAATTAATTTTAATTACGTTTCTTTAATTAATTATTAATGGATGATGTAATTACTCATTTTTATTACGCATGCGGTCCTTTTTGACATTTCTTTGCTACCATTGTTGGAGATCAAGGGTTCATGAAATGATAACAATTATAATAATCAGAAAAATGATCCAAGATCATGCTTTATTTTTTATTATTTATAAATCCAAGAAATTTATTTTAACGAATTTACGAGTCAACTCAATATTTCGATTCGATTCACAAAAAAAAGTCAAAAAATATTTTTTATTGTCAATCTTTTGATAGAATCAAATATTGTGCAAGACATTTGAGTGGTGGGTATTAATCCTCGATGAAGAGATTCTAATTATAAAGTCGATGAGATTTTGACAAAGAGCTCTATAGGAGAGCATCGAGAATAATATCAAAAAAACATTAAAAAGACTAAATTGAACGATGCCCTTATATTTTCAATCCATCGGCACAAATGAATCGAAAAAAATTCGAGAATTGTCATCCCCAATATAAACTTTTCAAATAAATAAGAATAAATTTGAAGTGGGATTGAGAATCATTATATAGTTGTCCATTTGGCAATATCCTTTTAGAGTCGGTTGTGTGGTGTGAGACAAATGGCAAAATTTTCAAAAATAGAATATTAGCAATTATTTAAATAAATGAAGAACCTTGCCTTTCTTTTTTTTTTTCTCCGTCTTTTTAGGCAAAGATTCTCTCAAACTTTTTCTTTGTCTAATTTCTTTAGGATTTATTTACATCTTGGCTCTTGCTTATGCTTTTCTTTTGAAACCATCATCAATTATGTTACTTCAAACCTAAAATGACAAGACATCCAACAAGTTCGATTTAAAAAAGGGACTATGCATTGCAGTGAAGTAGGTGAGACAAGTTCAATGTAAAATTTCAAAATCCATTCAATTCAAAGATGTTTAACTTGCAGCTATCAAAAAGCATGTTATCTACACCAATAGGGCTTGTTGCCTTAGGGTAGTCCAAAAATTTTGGGACAACGATTATAGAGTTTCTAGAGAAATTCGCTGATTGTTGTGAAACTCATTGTCAGACGCGATAAATTGACCTAAAAGGGTAAAATTGTTAACTACTTGAATGATTGATGACTTTCAATAAGTAATATAAAGTAATAATAACAAACACGGTGCTAATCAAACAAGCTCCACATAAGCTATCACGATAAAGTTGTAATTGGATGGAAGAACATGTCAATGTCATAAAATGACATTTCAGACTTCATAAATTTTCATTTTTATCCTCCGAAAAAATAGAGATAAAATTGTAAAATATCCTCCAACCAATCCTCCACCCTAAAGACATAAACTGATCCAATCAAATTCAAAGGACAATGACGAACCTTTTGCTCTCATTCTACCAAGTCTTATTTGACTGAAATAATTAAAAAATGCAAGCATTTAATTCATAACTTCCAAAAAGCAAAACAACCAAACAGGCCTTTATTGGGCCTTTAGTACTGTAAAAACAATTTACTTCCTATGTCCCACAGTTGAAACGTGTTAATTGGTTAAGTCTTCATAATTCCAACCGACAAAAAAAACTTCTGAGAGATTTAAAGTGCCACTTAACGGTTGACAATTAACAAATAAATACAAGCAAAGCATGAAGAATGCCATTAATATTCTTCTTCACACGTAGCTTTCAATCTCATTAATTTTATGAAACTTTATTACATTCTTCCCGTAATCTTCGCCAACATTCACCACCCCATTAAACCTTCCACAGTTAGTAGATGGCTACACCACAAATTGAGGTGACCCATTAGTGCTTAGTCCACTTTCTCCAAGAAAAAATCTACAATAGACTGTTCCCATGTTCCGTACATGGGTTAATTGTATTTATGGCCACCATCAAATTTTTGTGCTCAAAACCCACTTTAATTATGTGAGTGAGCCTGTTCATGGAACAATGTTTAGATTTTGTAGCAGTTTCTTGATTTCTGTATATGGGTTCTTGCTCAAGATTTTTTGGTTCATCACCAAATATGTGTACAGGTATGGTGACTGTGTACTTTCTTATGCTTTCTGTAGTATAAACAAACTTAACTATGATCCAATGTTTTCGACAGATCAAAGGGGGAGAAAGGTTCAAGTTATAAGGCCAATCGTTCTCAAAGTGATGATCAAGTTGTGTCCAAGAATTTCAAGGTTTTTGAGACCATTAGGTTAGCAGAAAAAAGGAATTCAGAGGGCTCTGTTTCTTTGCAAAATGCCCTTGTTGCAAACACTAGTAAGTATCAGTTCAATTCTGGCAAAAATGTCAGTGGATTCATGGAAGAAGCCAAAACTATGAAATTTGAAATGTTTGTGGGCTCAATTGAGTGGTTTGCTTGTACTAATCAATGTCTTAATAGTGACTTTTCGCGAAAAGTAGATTCTTTGGAGGTGAATTCACAAGAAAACTTGCAACGACTTGATGAGGAAATACAGGAGGAAAAGGGCTCAAATGAGGATTTTGATTGTACTAATCAAGATAAACGAGATTCTTTGGAGGTGAATTCACAAGAAAATTTGCAACAAGTTGATGAGGAATTACAGGAGGAAAGGGGCTCAAATGAGGGTTTTGATTTTACTAATCAATGTATTGATAGTGAATTTTCGCCAAAACGAGAAACATTGGAGGTTAATTCACAAGAAAATTTGCAACGGGTTGATGAGGACAAGGGAAAAATAGGTTTTGCTAAATATGAGAACGTCAGTGATGAAGGGATAGTTTCTATGGAAGTTAAATCCACTGAGGATAAAGATTTTGCATATGAAATTGAATTGCTTCCACAGAGCCAATTCTCAGCTTCTGAGGGAAAGCAAGATTCAGAAGTTCCTGGAAATGAAAATGAATTGCTACTGAGGAAAGAATTCTCGGCTCCTGAGATAAAACAAGATTCAGAAGATCTTGGAAATGAAGTCGAATTGGTTGAGGATGTTGAGTCGGGTAATAATGCATTCCTCCACGGACATGATCGAAGAATAGCCAAAGATATCGGAACAGGTGAAACTGCAGAACAGTGTGGTATTGATTATCCGGGCTTTGATATTAGGAATTCGGTATTCAACTCCGAAAGTTTAGAAGATAGTAATGAGTACATTGAATTAGAGCCTCCAATGGCGAACTCAAAGGATATTGTCAAAGAAAGTCTTTACAAAATCGAGGAATCACATGAAGTCAAGAGCGAAATGAAGGCATTCGTTGTCAATTCACAAAAGGAGGCTTCAAACAGTAGGTCATGGGATTCAGATTCCGAGGATGATGATGAATGCGATATCCTGAAGGAACACCAACATTTAGTACAGCAGATGAAAATGGAGCTAAAAAATTCCAGACTTAAAGGGCTTCCAACCATATCAGAAGAATGTGAAACTCCTAAGATGGTTGAAGATTTAAAGCCTCTAAAAATTGATGACAAGGTTGAGTACAAAGATGTTATGGAAGAAATTCTGAAGTTTTACAAGAGCTACAAAGAACGAATGCGCAAATTGGACATCTTGAATTACCAGACTCTACATGCTATCAGTAAGTTAAAATTAAAACCCCTGTTTTCGTTTTCACCAATTTTGTTTTAAATCTGTAAAATTTAGTTTAATTTCAGTGAAGAATTAAGTTAGAGATATTTTGTGGCTAGTATCATGTTGTGTGTGTCATTATTTGTCAATTGGCATGCTTCTGCTTAAATTACTGGATTAATGAGGGTGGTTGAATAGATTTTGATATTTTCTTATTAACTCACATAATCAATTATTATTCCATCCAATCACATTAAAGATTATATTCTTAAAGGGTTCTTGAAAGTGATTACATAGCTGATGTACTCACTTTCTTTATAGAGTCAGGACCCCTTCTTCAAATTTAAATCTATCCCTATTTGTTCAGTGCCTCTGTCTTTATAGTCTGATTTTAAAACTCTAAAAGCAACTGTCTCTGTGCTTAATCGTATTGGCATATATTTATTTATTTTCCACTTAGTACTGGTTAATGGTCACCTAATGTCCTGATCAATGTCAAGTCAGCTTAAACACTTTACTCAAATAAAATAATTTGTTCTCTAAAGGCATCCACAATGAGAGATGAAATAAAGAAAAAAGTGGGGTTTTTTTTTATTCTTTTTTTTAAATATGGAATAATAGAAAACAATTTATGAATTCTGATGTTTTTGTTGAGCATTTTAGGTTTCCTCCAGCTGAAGGATTCAGAAGTATTTACCTCGGTCAAGAAAAAATCACTTTTAACACTAAAACCAACTTGGCCAATGAAAGTACATAGAGTTTACGTTGATCCAACGCATAAATTGATTGTAGAAATGCTTCGGGATTTAGAATTGGTGTATGTTGGACAACTTTGTCTTTCATGGGAAATTCTGTGCTGGCAGTACATAAAAGCAAAAGAGTTACTCGAATATGACGCTCAGAGATTTCACTCTTATAATCGAGTAGCTGAGGAATTTCAACAATTTCAAGTACTCATGCAAAGATTTACGGAAGATGAACAGTTTCAAGGTCCCAGAATTCAAAACTATGTGAAGAACCGGTGCTTGATTCAAAGTCTTCTTCAGGTCCCAATCATCAAAGGTAAGAAAAGAAAAATAAAAATGATGTCTCTGAATAATTAGACAAACTGAAACTGTATTCTAACTAGCAGATTTGCTTCAAATTGCTTGCAGATGATTGTTTGAAGGATAAGAAGGAGAAAAGAGAGGAAACAGATGCAATTTCACTTGAATTGTTAACCGAGATCATTAGGGGATCAATGTTAATTTTCTGGGAATTTCTTCATGCTGATAAGAGCACGAAAACTATTGTCTTAAAGGACGTTCGAAGAGCTAAAATTGATCTTCAAGAACCTGCAGATTCAGAGCTTATAATGGATATAATAACTAACCTTCAGAAGGTTCGTTTTCTATTTTCTTGATATATAAAGTGACCTTTCCTTTAGTTAACATGTACCGTTTTAACAATTTTTTCATTGTAAATGCAGAAAGAGAGAAGACTTGAAGAAATAGCAAGAAGTCGTAATTGCATAGTGAAGAAGTTTCAAAAGCACCAAGAATGTCAATTGAATAACGCACTTTTCACTTCTCGGGTGGAGTTGAGATTGGTATCGAAAGTATTGAGTTTGTCAAGATTAACGATGGATCAATTAGTATGGTGTCAGAAGAAACTCAACAACATTAATTTTGCGAGCAGAAAGGTCCTCGTGGAGCCTTCGTTTTCGCTTTTTCCTTGCTAAAATCTCCAGTGTCTGCCAGTAAATGATACATAGTTATATATGTAAATCAGTAGGGACATAGTATGCAGATAAGATGATGTATGCACAATGTTTGATATGTGCATTTCCTGTCTGATTCTGCATTTCAGATGAGGACAATTTTCAGTGTTGTGTATTACAAGTTAATAGTTTTACAAATATGCAAATAAACAAAAGAACAATTTTAGAACGTTGCACCGGATAGGGTAACGGGCTAGAGGCAAACTTTGTTTTTCCTTTTTAGCACTACCTGGTATTACCGAATTTAATTCCTTGAGAATTACTTCCTGTAGGACCTCGAACACACGATATTAACGTTGAGAAGCGACAAAATCGATCTCACAGAAAATAGAAGTGAAGAAATTAAAGACCACAAGCGATTTCTTTCGTCCTAAGCCATGAAGGTTCGACAACCATTTCTAACGTCTACGTCCCCCGTTGAACATCCGATAAATTGGATTATGCTCGGTTCAACTAAATAGCCCAATATGGAAACAAAGGTTATAAATGAACACTTATCTCTGACTTTATAGGTATTATATCCCAATATAACTTGTCATACAACAGTTTTTTTCAAACTTAAGAAAACAGTTTTTATTTGGCACATTTGGAAGGAACAACCCGAGTCAAGTATCTATTCATCACTCTAACTGTTTTCCACATTAACAAGGACTAGACAAATTTCATGCTTAGCTTTATGATATACTAAAGCATTACTCCCATCATCAAATTTCTTTTCTTTTGAATTATTTTTCTTCTTAAAATAGACTTTAACAAAATGACCAAACTTCCTACAATAATAACACTTCTTACCTTTAGCCTTATTTTTGGACTTATTCTTATCACTCAATTTATTTTTACTTTCAATAAAAGACTTAGTGATAATTTGATTTACCAGAAACTTTCTTTTTTACTAACAAATTATCTCTATTTTAACTATTACTAGAATCATCTTTCATCTCTATAGCCTTATTTCTTGGAGAATTTATTATAATATCAGCAGTAAGTTCTCCCTACCATACCATAGAGCAATTTTGATGTTTTTATATCGGTCACTAATGGAATTTAACAAGACTACAACCATCTGATTTTTTGAAAGTTTTTCATCATAGTTGGCCAAGTGTAAGGTAAGTTTTGTAAATTTGTTTAAATTTTCATCCAAATCAACTGATGGATCCATTTTCAAAGAAAATAATTGTTTTAATAAGAAACACTTATTTGGAGTAATTATTGTTACATATTTAGCGTGAAGCTTAGTCCACAAATCAAAAGCAATTTTTTGTTTCACCAATACTTCTTATCACATTTTCAGAAAAGTACAAGAAAATAGTACTCTGAGCAACCTTTTCAAGTTCAATTTTCTTTGCAGGAAGTAAGTCAACAAACCATCTTATCATCTAGAACCCTAACGCATCTCATTTACATTAAAATTGCCTTCATTTTTTGATTCCATATATTGAAATCACATTTTCCATCAAATTGATTAAATTCAAACTCAGCAAAAGCCATGCTGTAGACAAGTATGATTCACAAATTAAAGACAATTTTCACTGATTTGCAAAGAACGATAAGAGTACAGATTGGTGTCACTCACAAATCACAGTAATGCACTTAGTAAAACAAGATTTTACAAATTTCAAGCATACACAGAGAATATGCAGGTCAAAACTCAAAAGAAAACATGATGACAGAGATCACGAAGCTATGTTTCAAAGAGTCCTCCTACAAGATCCTCCAAGTATACACCGATACTTGATTTATCTCAAATTTCCAAGGCTTCGTAGGAGCATTTGGAAAAAAGATTAATCTCAAAGGGGTTAATGTGTACGGTAAATTAAGAAAAAAAAATCAAGAAACCCTAATTGTTTAAAAGTGAACTTTATAAAAAAATTAGAAAGATCTCACATAAGGAGTTAAAAAAAACTCGTTTTCTTCCAATTTTGCTCGACATCAATTCCAAAAATTTAGATATGTTGTAGATCAACCAATTTCTCTAAGATCCAGATATATTGCTCCTTACTAATGGTTTGATACCATTGTAGGTTCAGGAACACATGATATTAACATTGAGAAGTACCAATAAAATGATCTCACAGAAAACAAAAGTGCAGAAATTAAAGACTGCACAAGCGATTTCTTTCGGCATAAGCCACCGGAAGTTCGGAAACTATTTCTACCACCTTCATCCCTCGTTGAGCATCCAATAAATTGGATTATGATCGGTTCCATTATATAGCCCAAAATGGCAACGAAGGTTATAAATGTTTAACCAATACACCGAGATAGTACAAGAACACTTATATCGCAAAGACACAACTATCGATCCACAAAGAATCACTAAGAATCTTGACAAACCCAATGAAAATAGTAACTCAAGAGAGCGCAAACCCTCTTACAAATATTCACTCAAAATATCACAAAATAAGAGCTAAAGATTACAGATCGCAAGTCTCAAATCAGAAATTTGTGAGAAGAAAAACAGAAGAGGAAACCCTAGACATACGAGAATTTCCTTCAAAACTACAGCACTCAGCCAAAATGAAAACCCCCAAAAAAATAATAGAACCATCAATAAGCAAAAAACAACGGTCAAGATGTAACCACGTGTCTCAATCCAATTAAAGGCGCATCATTAGTAAAGTTTCAATAACTATAAACACGACTTCAACACAAATTCAGGAAGCACTAATATTCGGACTAGAGTTCAAATTTTACACTTCCCTCGCATACTCGTTTTAAACAAACATACTAAAAAATATATAAAATTATTTTTTCCTTTTTCAATGAGTTTTCCTACTTAATCAAACATTCTTGAAAACAAAAACAATTTTCAAAGAATTACTTGGGATAAATTTTTTATCAATACGAGCGTTTACTGATATTTGAATTGGTCGCGTGTTTGTTGTTCATATGGCTTAATTTTAAACTTATTGCAACTACAGACAATTAAGTTTTGTTTTTCATAAATTTAGGTCGAATTTCTGAAATCTTTTTACTACTCCATTCCACTAATCATTGTTAGGGTACTGTCTACAGAAAAACTTAAATCTCAAGTAGAGCCTTTCAAACTATAAGTGAACTAAAATTCTTTTGACAGATTTTTACTATAACAATAAATCTATGGCAATTCTTTTCTTTACTCGGACAGAGACTGATTGATTATCAAAAGTACGAGCCGAGTTTCAAATTTGAATTTATGAATAATCTTGATTTATAATTTTTCAATATAATATGCATTTAGGATTTTCATTATGAGTCTTTTCTGATACAGTTAGCAATGCTCTATCACTCGTCCTCATTTTTAAGCGGTGTTCTAAATACCTTTGTATGTTTTAAAGAGTTCTTTATCGTACTTTACACCAAATGAAGTGAAAACAAAATGATTCTTATATCCCCTTGCAATTTTTTTGAATTCCATACAATGAACTTCTTTATATGTAAATAAGTCATACAGTTCAGCTAGTGAGTCACATATAAGAAGCTGAACTTTTCAATCAAAACAACAGAAACCTTTATTTTCTCTATAAAACTTGCATGCCTTCCAATGTATTTTCAGTAACATAGGGTCATTTCTCATTTTATGATAAGCATTGTAATCAGTTCTAAGTTTATTTCGCCTATCTCTCTGCTTTTGAATTCGTTGTTGATGAATGAAATCTCTGTAAAACTCATTTCCACTTCTCGAGATAGCATCCGAGTTATCAAAGGAATGGTCTTCAACAGACGTTTCCAAAATATCTATCACAACGAAGTATCAACTAAGACAATTGAAGAACACTATTAGCATATCTGTTAAACCATTCGCATAGGAAAACCAAAACTGTCCGTCGAATATGAGAAATTAGTTATAAAAAATCGTTCAAGAAATATTCACCTGTTTAAATTTTCTAAAAATGTAATAATTATATAACATTAATTACACTTTGTAAAAAACAACACATAGAATCTAAATTTGAGCGACATGATTTAAACATTAATGACAAATAGATATGTGCAAAAATTTTAAATGATGGACAAGCGTAAACCTTATTACGTAACAAATACAAACAACTGACAAAAAATATTCCAAATATAACCACAACAAGCTCTAGTAATCCTTGCTAAAGCAATAAGGAATTTTAACGTTAACTCCACGTTATTTTCTCTTTCTATTATTTATTATTGACAGTCGAAAAGATGAAACATATGATTTTTGTATAATTTGATACAAAATTATAAAATTTAATTTCTACTTTATCATTTCTGAACGTATATGAAGCATTATATATCCCTCTTCTATTAAAAGAGGGAATCCCTCATTCCCTATTCATTCAGGACGTATTTGCCTTTCCCATTTTATCCCCACTGTTCTCCTCATTTCATCCCCACTAATTAATTGTTTGTTCCCATTTTATCCTCCGCCATTTACTGTTCAATAATGCAGATTTTTTATAGTAATCCACTACCCATCCATGAGTCTCTTCAAAACAAAAGGGTATTATGGACTTTTTTCTTGCCCACAATTGTTGACTAATGAAAGACAAAACATATGAAAATGAAATGAATGGTTTATGGAGGTTGAAGTTATTATTATTTTTTTTTGTTAATAAAAGATTGTAGTGATTATTAATTACTAATTTTTTTTTTCTTAATTGTAGATGTAAAAAAAAAAAAAAATCCTGAATACCCTGTGTGCGTATGCAGATAAAAGTTGGAGTGATTTATTTAAGAGGTAAAATAGTAGAATTGGAAAAGAAACAAAAAATAGGGTAGACGTTGCGGGGTCGAGGGGGCGTGCAATATAGTAGAATTGGGAAAAAAGGTAGACTTCGTGAGGGTCGAGGGGGCAGCATCCCCTCGTGGGGTTTCGGGGGCAATGCCCTCGAAAGGAAATTATAATTTTCATACATGTGTTGAAGAGTTTATCTGTTAAAAATAAATTTTTTTAACAAATACAAAAGATAATGAAATGAGGAAAATATAATATATTTAATGGCCATGTTAATAATAAAAAAAAAGTATGTGGTGTGCGGACACCACGGACCAAATGCTCCGTGGTGTCCACTCCGTGGTGTGCTGACACCATGGAGCTACTCCATGGTGTCCGCACACAACGAATAAATTCTTTTATTTTTATTTTCAATAGTTTTCAATGATCTTAAAAAAAGAAAAAATTCACCTTATAAGTCAACAAAAGGAATGTTCAAAAAGAATTTAACAATTCAGTAAGTCATCAATTCTCATCCACCGACAAATGAAATGACAGGAGAAAGAGAACTGAGTCCCTATCAATTTGGCAACTACCTTGATTAAACGACTATATAAACACTAACATTTATATCAGTTATTTTTGCATATATGATTTTAAAAGTTCAACAGCAATATAAATTGACGAATAGAAATTCAGACCTCTTCAGACGTTTTTACAGCAGATGAATTCTTGCTAAATTCTCTTGCCAGGTTGTGAACTGAAAGCCTCTTCTATTGTTTATTTTTCTCTTATTCCCTTTTTCCCCTTAAGCTTCTCATTTTTGCCTATTCTCTCTCTATATATATATATGTGAGGTTTGAAGTGGATTGAATGAAGAAGAGAAATGAAGGATTTGTTTTACTCATACCACCACCACTGCCTCACTTTCTTTCAATTTATAATCATATCCCCCCTTTTTTTGCATGACATAATTTCACTAGAAGAAAAAAAAAATATGTCCAAGAATCAAACCTCAAATCATGAGGACTGAACACCTCAACAAATGAATCAGGAAAATGAAAAAAAAAACTAACTTGGATAAACAAATAAACCTAAAATATAACAGCTACCAAATCAATATACCTCAGTTCAATGATCTCCTACCCAGTATGCAATATTTCCCTATTTTCAACAGTTGAACTGAAACTGCAAACCAAACAACCATAAGAAATTTATAATGAAGACTAAATCGAAGAGGTAAGTAACAGTATATGCACAGAACGAACCTATAACATAAGAACAAACAATATATATATATATATAGAGAGCAGAAGGATGGAAAACGCAGGTGCAGTCGGTGAGAAATTTTTTTAAAATACAAACAAGTTTACCTTTAACATGTTGCGTGAATCTACAAATCTATCGAAGCGAAAGAGACGCACTCTCTTACTCAATTTTTAGCTTATGCTGATTTTATTATTCAATTCGTACAAATAAAATATGTATAATAACAAAGTTATAGTATACTTTTACAGTAAAGCTACACCTAATGGAAAAATACCGGAAGTATGAAAGATAACTGTAGTGTTCTTTTTAATATTTTACTACTGCTCTATAAAATAAAAACAGGAAGAAGTCAAGAAAAACGAACGAAAGACATAACGGTGGAGGAAAAAAAAGAAATGGGAAACATTCCATAAGAAACGTACAGACGAAAAACGAGATAAAATAGGAAAGTTGAACAAAAATATGAACCATGAATTCAACAATCCTCTCTTCTATAGGAAGGTAGATTGTGAAAATAGAAAAATAAACTGGTTCAGAACGTTAGCTTCAAGTAGTTTGGACGTCAATTCTATGGCGAAATATGAAAATCGCATATTCTTTCTTTATGGTTGTTGTGAGAACAGAAAAATAAAATGTTTCAATAAAGATAATTTGAAGGTGGTAGAGGCGGTTAGTGAATAGTTTTTTTTACATACGTCCATATATGGGAAGGTGGAAAACTGGTGTAGTACATCCAATTTGAAGGTGGTGGAGTTCAGTAGTCAACAATTACAGTGACGTGAATATGTTTGTACAAATTTCCACAGTTATATGTACAATAGGATATTTCCTAAAAAAATAGTAATTCACATATTACTTACTCGTGAAGGAATACATCTTGCTTCAACTACGGCTTCTCAAAGTGTTCATTTAATCATGGTAGTGATGGAGTTAATTAGTCAACAAGTAAGGGGGGCAGTATGTGAGCTGACAAACTACATCCCTTAGTAATGTCAACAATTGAGGCTTGATTTTTTTTTTTTCCCCCACATAATATAGAATAGTTGGAGGTCAATGCAGGCCCACCACAATCCAAACCAGTTTAGTCCTCCTAAGAAGCAAACTTCAAACGGGTGAAGTGTGAACACGAGGTACCAAGAAGGATTTTAGTCAACAATGGTAGGAATAAACCGGCACATTAATTTCATTTGGCTTGATGAATAGTAAACAACAAGTTCATCTACAGTAGTGTGAAACCTAGGTTTCAAGATGAATAGTGAAGGAGGATTCTCTCTTTAAAGGTAAAGGATGATATATATATAAGAATACATTATTTTATTTATTTATTAGTTAGAATATTTAAAATAATATTAAAAATTTGAAAAATGCATATTCTTGTAATACTTGATACTCGATCGAAATGCATTACCACGCATTACACATTTTTGAAACTTGTTTTTAAGTAATAAATAATATAATCAATAAGATTTTTTTTAAGTTTTAATTATTAGAATTAATTCAAAATCGTCATCTATTGGGCTAAATCTGCTTCAAGCCCATTAATATTTCGACTCAGTTACATATGGGCTCTTGCCCACAAAAGATCCACTAACTTCTTAATGCAGAATGAAAAAATAAAAATAAAAATAGAAAGACACTGCCGAATCACAGCCGTATATCCCTAAGTAAAGAAGGAAATGGAATATTTCAACCGTACGATTTAGGTTAACAATCATTACTCTCCCACTTTTACACAGTTCCCTCTCCATCTTCAAAAGCCCTTCTTCGCCTTAGTAACCCTAAAGCGCCGAGTCACCACCTGAACCCGAGGACCCAATAAGGAGGAAAATGGTGCAACGCCTCACATACAGGAAGCGGCATAGCTATGCCACTAAATCCAACCAACACCGGATCCTCAAAACACCAGGTAAAAAAACCCCTATATTTACGTATAATGTGTTCGATTTGAAAAATGTAAATCTGATTATGTATTTTTTGTGGGTATTTTGATGTGAGCGTTTTATTGATGGGTTTTATATTTGTTAATTCATGGGTGTTTTATGTGTGAGTGAAATAGGAGGGAAATTAGTGTACCAAAGCACGAAGAAGAGGGCTAGTGGCCCAAAGTGCCCTGTTACTGGAAAGAGAATCCAAGGGGTAAGATCAAATTTTCTAGGTTTCCTCGTGTGCTTAAAGTTTAAATGAAATGGAAACGTCATCTTTTTGTGATTATGTTGTGAAATTATGGCTAATCTAGTGTGTTAAGTTTGTACCTAGCTCTATTGTTTTCGTGTATTGATTCTTTACAGTTTTTGTCAATTGATAACTTCCTTTGCTTTAGTAATTTAATTTGAATATACACGGAACTCTTACTTTTGTATCAGGACTCATTGGAATTACGAGGAGTTTGAGAGCCCAGGGCTAAGATTTAGAAGATATTCAATTTATTTGCAAGCACCTTACATTTTGTACTCAAGATAGCTTTAAGAACCTGCAGAATTTTTATGCTACATTTTGGGCAGCTAGGAGCAAATGGAAACTTCTCATCTTTGAAGTACTACTGTACTAGAATGACATTTGGATGTGGACTTTAAGAATTACCTATAATTTGCTCCTCTAATGTTTTCGTTTAAACATGGGTTATGTTCTTCAGTTATCTATATATTACAAACCTCAGTAATCTGCTGCAATTCAATTATGTTTACTTTGAAGTTGAACAGCAACCTTACGGTTGGGATGAATGATTATTAATCATGTTTTATAATATTTGTAGTCAGTGTTCTAAAAAGTTTGTCTAGGCTCGAAACTCGGGCAAAATGTCTCTCTTTGTGCCTAGACGCATTTTTTTTTTCCATTTCCTAACGGCTGATTTTTTTCCTCCCTCTCTTACAAAAAGGGATCCACACGAAATAATCAAAAAATAAAAAAGGGAAAAAAAAACTTCAGAAAATAAACTGAAATCGAATAATAAAAAAATATAAAAATTTTTTTTTTTCATTTGACTTTAATTTCTTGTTTTTAAAAGACTTTATTTGTACAAAAGTTAAAAAATGACTTTATCTAAATAGTTAAATAAGATTTTAAGTTATGGTGCTATCTACGCTATGTAATTATTATGATCTTCAAACTCGTTATTTTGTTGTAAACTTGAAAAGAATGTATGAAGTTCCTATAAATCTATTAAGTAGAACTTGTCTAGTTGAAAAGACCAAATCTTGTATGCTCCCTATCTTCTATCGTTTAAATGTTAACTAGCTTTTTTTGTTGAATAATTTATTATGTCAATGCTGTTAGTTTTAAGACACTTAGTTTGGCCACGTTTGTGTATTTGCAACTTACCGTTGTGAGGTTGACTTGAAATGCTTCTGTTTTATGGGGTTGAAGACAGCTTAAATATATATAATAGATGTGGTAAGAATGTTTTGTTATTGACCTATTAAAGGCTTGAAGCAACTGTAAAAGGGCCTGATATGGCTTATAATTATTGTGATGATGATAGTATACTTGGACCTTTTCTGCATGCTTCTGACTAAGATCATAAATCCTCATGTTGGTGAAATTTGATGAATGAGTTGCAATATTTTTGCAGATTCCTCACTTGAGACCTGCCGAGTACAAGAGGTCTAGATTATCAAGAAATCGAAGGACTGTGAACCGTGCTTATGGTGGAGTGTTGTCTGGAGGTGCTGTAAGAGAGAGGTAGTTTTTTCCTCCATGTATCTTACATTTACTACGGTTTCCTTGTTCTTTGTTTCTATCTTAAAGTTTGTGACTTTCTTTCTCATTGGAATTTGTAGGATCATCAGAGCTTTCTTGGTGGAAGAGCAAAAGATTGTGAAGAAGGTTTTGAAGATTCAGAAGGCCAAGGAAAAGCTATCTTCTAAGAGCTGAAGTGTGAGTCATATGCCAATATAGTTTTTGGATACTACTTAGTCAAGGATAATTGGAATTGTATTCTGAGGTCTCCATGCTTAAATTATGTATGTTTGTTAGATTTTGTCAAATGACTGTTCAGTTTGTCGAAAATTCTCATATTTGGTTTTGGGTTTCCCTGCCTTCATAATATCTTAAAACTCCATTTGGGATTTGCTCTGGTACAATTCTGGATTTTTTCCCCTCATTGAGTCAGAGTTTATTGCTAAGTTTGTTCTGGAGAGTTTTAATGATAGCTTGATGTTCAAATTGATTGTTTCCTTTTCATTGTTCGCCATATTGGAATTTTTGGTGCCAAGATTGTTTACTTTTCCCTCCAAAGCTATATTTTTCTAGGAGTCCTCGTGCTATTCCTTCTCCAAAAAAACCTTTAAAACCTCGGAGAACCATTTATTGCTGCTTTTTCCTGTCTTCCAATGTGAGAATGATAACAAGCACATTTTAGCCCTTGTTTGACAACCCATTATAATGAAATTTTTGGAAAAAATGAGTTTTGGAATTGTGTTTTTTTTTTTTTTGGAGAATGTGTGGTTTAAAAAGTAAGAAAAAGTTTTGGGTTTACGTGCATAATATTTTATTGTGAGAACGTGTGGTTGAAAATGAGTTTTCAGAAAAAAAGAGTTGTTTTAATGGTTGTAAAACATGGGCTTATTTGCATTCTCGTTTATATATTCACTGTTGCAAGAAAATTGTGCTCGGTGAAAATTACCTTCTGGTTATAGTTATTTTGCCCAGAAAAGGACCTTGGCCCCTTCCATAAGGATTATTCCCAGGAAATAGTTTGGTAGTGTTGTTCAAGCACTCTCCAAGTAGTTAGTTAAAGTGATTCTGTAGTATCTTCCATTGAACACAACTGTAGTTCAAAGCAATTCACTCGTGTTTGTCATCACGGGGCTATAGAGCCAGTTCAATTCTCGTGCGTCTACAAGAAAACCGTGCCTTTAAGTGCTAAGCAACACCACATTTTTCGACTCTCCTTCCTCAACATTCTTCTTTCACGGTTATAATTTCATACAAAATAAATAATTTTCTTTTTAATTGAGAAAAAAGTAACATATCTGAATGTTCCTAAAGGCTAAAAGTATACTTGTTTTTAGGTTAACTAGCACAAAACGTCCCTACCTTTGTGGTTGATTTCAAAAATCGTCCCTACCTTTCATTTCTTGGCATTTATACTCTCACCTTCCACTTTTTGTGCGCTCAACATCTTTTCCACAACTATTTGACGATTTTACATCTCATTCAATTGAAACAAAAAGAATAGCAATTCACTCGTGTTTGTCATCATGGGGCTATAGAGCCAGTTCAATTCTCGTGCGTCTACAAGAAAACCGTGCCTTTAAGTGCTAAGCAACACTACATTTTTCGACTCTCCTTCCTCAACATTCTTCTTTCACGGTTATAATTTCATACAAAATAAATAATTTTCTTTTTAATTGAGAAAAAAGTAACATATCTGAATGTTCCTAAAGGCTAAAGGTATACTTGTTTTTAGGTTAACTAGCACAAAACGTCCCTACCTTTGGGATTGATTTCAAAAATCGTCCCTACCTTTCATTTCTTGGCATTTATACTCTCACCTTCCACTTTTTGTGCGCTCAACATCCTTTCCACAACTATTTGACGATTTTACATCTCGTTCAATTGAAACAAAAAGAAAAGAAAAGAGAAACTAAAGAATTAATTGCAATGATAACCCCAAATTTTTAAAACTTACTTTTGAGTCACATGATACTAATTTTTTGCCCCCAATCAAATACTACCGGAACCAGCCAAACCATTTCAATGGCTCAAAACTAAACCAAATTAAGTTAAATAAAGTATGTAAATCAATCAAACCTCGGCGCATGCAAAAATAAAGGCGAGGTAATTATTGAAATCGGGGAATTGAGTATAGTTTTGAAGCTTCTGCCAAATCAGAGACTTATCGTCGGAAGTGGGAGCCATCTGCTGCTCTAGAAGACCGCAGATCTCCCTTAGCCCCTCCTCTTGCGGCTGCCACGTCGCTACTCCGCCGTCAGCACTCGAAGCCATTACTTCCCTTTCCAAGCAAAAAATTATCTGATTTTTTGGAGTTTAATTGAAGAATAGAATCGAGAAAAAATGAACGATTAGACGACGAATTAAGGATATAGAACCGACGACTCAACTAGAAGAACTGTTTGAAGAACGGGTTTGTAAAGCGGAAGACAGAGATTTGAGTTTTTATTCTGATTTGAAGAATTTATTCAAGAAGGGTTAAGTTGACAGAACATGTGTTGTGGTGTTTTTTGGGTTAAATTGATGGCATGGTTAGTGTCTTCTGGTTGTGGGCAAATGATTGATGAAGAGTTTCAATCAAATGGGTGGCCAGAGGTGGAGATTTCATCGGTTTTCAGATTTTCGAGTGGCCGACTTTGAGAATTGATTTCGGCAAGATTATTTGGTGTTTTATGGAGTTGTTGGGTGGTGATTGTAGAGGAGATTAAGAGCTTTCCATTGATGCCAGTATCCGGTGGTTTTGGTGAGATTAGCGTCAAAATGTTGTGAATAGGACGTTGAGTTCACAAAAAGTGGAAGGTAGGGGTATAAATGTCAAGAAATGATTGATATGGACGGTTTCCGATATTAACCCCAATGTTAGGGACGTATTGTGCTAATGAACCCTTGTTTTTAATCTCAGCCAAAATACTAACATAATTCCATGAAGGAAAACGAAAGATGAAGGTAAAAGCCACGAATGAGTGACTGTTTTTATTTAGAGTAACTTGTAATATTGAATAAAAAGAAACAAATAATTTCAACACAATTTATTCGAGAGATGATTTTCCAACTTCAAACAAAGAAATTCTCTGTGATCGGTACTGAAAAATTGGAGGAATTACCAGTGAATTTTCTAATGGATTAGCAATAGAAAGGATATTTCCCTTAACAACGAATCAAGGACCAAAACATCCATATATTATAATTTGGCACAATTATCAATGGAATTCACTTTTGAAATTTCCATCTTTAAATTACCAAATGAGAACATAAAAAATAATAGGGAAGATTACATATTCAAGAGTATAAGTTTAGTCTATTTCAAAAATAAAGAATACAAGTTTAAAATTACCAAAATCAGATTTTTATTAGATATTTTTAAATTTTTATTTATGAAATAATAAATTATTAAATTAATTTATTATTTAATATTTAATTCTAATATAATATAATTAACTTATCCCACCTTCACCACCTTTACCGTTCCGACAACCGTTCCGATCAACGTCCTACTCCGGCGAACTTTTCCACGACTGTTCCGGCGAACTTTTCCGGTGACATTTCGATTCCGACAATTATTTATATTATTAATTAAATATTTATTTATTTTATTAAATAAATATAATGATATTACAATTATACAATTAATTGTCACATATACATAATTAATTGGTCACAGATTATTTTTGAGGTCACAAATCAAAAAAAATTATAGGTCACGATTTTTAGATCAAAAAATTTGTAGGTCACGAATTATTTCGAGGTCACAAATCAGGTCACATATTATTTTATTGGTCACAGATCAAAAAATTACAGGTCACAGTTATCTATCAGTCACATATTTTCAAATTTATTGGTCACAGATTAATTTTTAGTCACAATTTTAAGGTCACCACCACCGAATTCTGTGACCACCCTCGTGACCACCACCGACGTCTGTGACCACCCACCCCCGTTCCCCGTGACCACCACCGACTTCTGTGACCACTCCCGTGACCACCACCGAACCTCGTGACCACCTCCGTGACCACCACCAACTTTTGTGACCACCCTCGTGACCACCACCGACAGCTATGACCACCACTTATCATTGCCACCAGCCACGTCGTTGTTGCCACCACCACTGAAATACACCAACTCCAGGCGCCACCTAACAGCGCCACCACCAACAAAACTGTCACCACCCAAACACCAGACAACCAGCAGTAACACCGTCATTTCCAAAACCACCACCACCACTGAACCACCACCATTTGCAAAACAAAACCAGAAAAAAAAATAAAAAAAGGAAAATCACAATCTTCCTCCACCACCACTGGCTCATACTTTCTGGTATACTCATCTAGGGTTTACTCCACTGACAGATCTGAAGGAGCCACGGAATAGGCGAGGGACTGCATGTGCATAGCTACGAGCGATTGTCTGTGGGCGCACGGGTGGTTATTTTCTGCGAGTTTACAGCAGCCTCGGCGGACGGCACAATCTTCCTCCACCTGGAAACGCTGCTGCGAGTTTGCAGTAGCCTCGACGACACCGTTCGACGCCTCTACGACGGTGCGACGACAGTGGCTTCAGCCCACTGCGTTCGACGGTGCTACGACAGGGAGTTCCGGTGCCGGATGATGGGATAGGTGCGGCGCCGGTGGGGAAGGTAGAGAGACCGAGATGAGAAAGAGGGAGATGGAGAGGAAGATAAGTTAATTAGGGATTGAAATTTTGAAATGATTATTATACAATTAATATTTAATAATTAAATATCTGATTTTTGAATAAACAAACCTTATATCTGATTTTTTAAGTTGGATTTTGAAAGATTGGGTTTGGTGTAATTACCACAAAATAATATGCGTATATTAACTAGTGACAATATCAATAAAAAAGTCCATTCCGAAAATTTCGTTGGTGAAGCTTTTTAACGGCAGAAAACTTGGCATCAATAAGGGAATTTTACACTGCTGTTTTATTTCCAGATATCTGTATCTTATATAACTAAAGCAACTAAGAGAGAATTAGATGGTCAAAATTCAAGTCCGTGTTTTATTGAGAACCCAAGCCACATATTTATAGGGCTCAAAATAAGATTTACAATCAGAGTAGAATAGACTATTTTAGAGTAGATAAGACTTATCTCATTATTCCGATAAGAACAAATAGACTCTTTTGATTACTTGAACAATAATTATCTCATTAAAAACTTAGTATAGCAAAAATCCAGT